CACAGTCCACACTGTCCACACTTAGATAGAAGAGTCCACAGTCCACACTGTCCACACTTAGTTAAAACAGTCCACACTGTCCACACTGTCCACACTTTGTTAGAAAAGTCCACACAGTCCACACTGTCCACACTTAGGTAGAACAGTCCACAGTCCACACTGTCCACAGTTAGATTGAAAAGTCCACACAGTCCACACTGTCCACACTTAGATAGAACAGTCCACAGTCCACACTGTCCACAGTTAGTTTGAAAAGTCCACAGTCCACACCGTCCACACTTAGTTAAAACAGTCCACACTGTCCACACTGTCCACACTTAGTTAGAAAAGTCCACACAGTCCACACTGTCCACACTTAGATAGAACAGTCCACAATCCACACTGTCCACACTTAGATAGAACAGTCCACACTGTCCACACTTAGTTAAAACAGTCCACACTGTCCACACTGTCCACACTTAGTTAGAAAAGTCCACACATTCCACACTGTCCACACTTAGATAGAACAGTCCACAGTCCACACTGTCCACAGTTAGTTTGAAAAGTCCACAGTCCACACTGTCCACACTTAGTTAGAAAAGTCCACACTGTCCACACTTAGATAGAAGAGTCCACAGTCCACACTTGTCCACACTTAGTTAGAAAAGTCCACACTGTCCACACTTAGATAGAACAGTCCACAGTCCACACTGTCCACAGTTAGTTAGAAAAGTCCACAGTCCACACTGTCCACACTTAGTTAGAAAAGTCCACAGTCCACACTGTCGACACTTAGTTAGAAAAGTCCACACTGTCCACACTTAGTTAGAAAAGTCCACAGTCCACACCGTCCACACTTAGTTATAAAAGTCCACAGTCCACACTGTCCACACTTAGTTAGAGAATTTGAGAAAGAGAACGAAGTCGGACGACGACGACGTGTTAACAATTTTTAGGATGTTAGGGTTTGTAATCCAAGTGAGAATATATACATTTAAGACCTAACCAGGAACGACTGCGATACATGCAGCACAAGGTCCTCTGGTAGGAATTGAATCTACGGCCCTGCGATTCCGGTGGAGCGCTCTAACCAACCTCGTTCCCAGGCTCTTTCCTCTTGTGAAGCAAAGACCCTGGTCGGAGCTGGTCACGTGAACCCCCAGATTTTGAGGGTAAATTGAATTTGATCTCAGGGAGGGCAGTAGAGGAGTCTGTTTGTTGCGTTATGAAAATTGCAACTTTATGTGTTATAATTTCGGGTGATAAAAATGTAATTTGCAACAAGAGAATTTGAAAGGAACTGTTCTAAATTCGTACCGATCATGACAAGACTTCCTGCTATACTGAATGTCATCAATAGTAAGTGTTGCGTTACATTTCAAATCTAGAGCAATATGTCTATAAACAGTTTTAGAATCAATAGGATGGACATTCAATGTGTATTTGGCTTGCGTCCAAATGTGTCACGTTTAAGATCGGCAAGGCGCTAGTCCTACGACCTATACACAGTCGCTTTTGAGACATCTGTTTAACAAAATTTGTGCCGTGGTCATTCTTCTGCCTTCGTTCACAACGAATAGTTTACCAAAATTCGTTGAGAACTTCGTTGCGAACGAAGGCAGAAGGTCAACAACGGGGTATAGTTTCATGACTCGCCTTTTTTTCTGGGTTAGGGCAAGAATTAATGTCAGTATTCATAAACAGCGACACATAGCACGCTGAGCAACCACCAGTGACGTCCAACTCTAATGCGCAAGATAATGCGGCGGTGCAGACGGCAAAAATGTTTCCAAGTTTTGTCTTCGTACTTCGTTGTCTTGCTCAAACTCTCTATATATACAAGTCCACGCGCTGTAAAACTTGCTCATTTTTGTTCCTATACGGTAGGATTATAAAGTTTCGACTCTATACCTTAGAACTTATTAAAGGGTCGTATACATTACTGAACTCGTCCGGCAATGCTGTTTGACCAAATAAAACTGTGTGGAAAAGAAACGGTAGACCAAATAAGTATCACGTTTTAAGGATTTTAAAGCAAATATACCAGGAGAAAATTGACTGGCTTTTGAAAACTAAAAAATCGTGCCGTGCCATCAGTCATCAAGATGTATCCAATCATTATTTATTTATTATATTTCTTAAAAACATCTTTAAACACGGTGATTAATCAACCAGTATTAAAATATTTACAGATCGAAAGGTTGCTTTTCATTAGGCCGTGATGCACACAAACTACAACTATCCCTCTCTCCCCCCCCCCCAGTGAACCCCTCCCAAAAAATGTAAAAGATACAGTTACTATTTATTTAACTGGCACTTTGGTTCCAGACTTTAGCAGCAGCATATCTGAATGTTCTTTTCAAAGAATTAGTGTTTGGTTTCGCTAGTACAAGGCTTGCTATTGTTGCTTCTTAAGTCGTATCGTTCAGAATTGGACATTGTAAACATGTTCGAAATGTTTTCAGGGCATTGGCATGCAAGAGCCTTTGATACACATCTTAATTGCTGCTCACTTCGCCTTTCTTCTAACGTTTTCCAAGGGAGCGTACTTCGTATGAGTTGCCTGAAATAACCCTTGCCGCTCGGTTTAGGAGTCTCTGTAACATCCCTGTTAAGGTTTTGCCACAGTTACCCCAAACCATTAAACAGTAATCCAAATGTGGTTGAACTAAAGCTTGATAGAGATAGGTAAGCGTTCCAATTGAAACAAATGGTTTAACTCGGCGTGACATGCCAACGCCTTTTGAAACTTTTTTACTGATGCTCTCAACATATCAAAAATAAAAGAGGGCCAAAGTTTGATCCCTGTGGATCCCTGCAATTTAACTTCCGAGGGGAAGATGTTGCTCTATTTACCTCACAGTATTGTTCCCTGTTAAGCAATTTTTTACAAGGATAGCATGATCGACTGTGTCGAATGCCTTGCATAAATCAAGAAAAAGCACCCCGTTTATCCTACCAGCATCCATATTCAGTAGCCACGAATCAGTATTATATAAAAGAGCAGATGTAGCGGAATAACCTTTGCGAAAACCTGACTGACGTGAACTTAAAATCTTATTTTCTTCCAGAAATAGATTGAGTTGCTCGCAGACAAGTTTCTCAAATTAATTTTGCAATAACTAAAAGTATAGAAATAGGCCGGTAGTTACCCCGCGCTTTCTTATTTCCAGATTTATATATTGGAGAAATCCTTGCCGTTTTAAGATCGTCTGGGAAAATGCAATTATTTAGAGAAGTATTGAAAATAAGTGCCAAAAAGGGGGGGGGGGGGACTACGTCTTTTGAATCTCTTAAAAGTTTGGCCTGAATATTAGCTGGTCCTGTGGATTTTGACACATTTATTTTACCAATTTCATTAACCACACCTTGAACATGGATGCTTTTAAAATTAACTGGTTTTGAGTTGTAAATTTCATATATCTTTCAAAACTCACACTGGATTCAGCAATCTGACTTGATAAAGTCGATCCAATGCCAGCGAAATAACCACTAAATAAATTTGCTATATTGAATCTTCTACAAACAAACTAATGATGGAATCTTGCTATATTGGAATATCTTGCTATATTGGAATCTTCTAATAATGAATCATCTAATGATGAATCATCATACTAATGATGAAACGCCAACTTTCAACACACATATATATATATATATATATATATATATATATATATATATATATATATATATATATATATATATATATATATATATATATATATATATTTATAGACCTGGAGCGAGGCGGATTCGGCAAAATATTACCCGAAGTGATGATGGGTAATATTTCGCCGAATCCCCCGAGCGGAAGGTCTATAAATGATATATTATACCGAAAATTAAAAGCCTCCAAGTTGAGAATTAAAAACTTAACACATTACACATACCTTCGGCTTCGTGAATACGATTTTTATTTTAGGATTAACGCCGTCAATGCCGTTTTAGTACTTTTGGTCGTGTTTTTAGAATGTCTTTCGTCTAAAATTCTGGCAATTTCTAAATCTTCTTCCGATGCAGAATCATGGCTGGCCATTTTGAATTAAATAAATAACAATTTCCCGCTTTTTTCTCCACACGTCAGTCTCGTGAGTTGCGTGGCTTCCACGATTTTAAATATCCACCGCTGTACCGGTGAATACGAGGTGGGCGCTGGTCAAAAGGACTGCAGAAATTAATATCCACCGCTCTACCGGTGAATAGGATGTGGGCGCTGGTCAAAAGGACGGCAGAAACTAATATCTACGAGTAGATGTTGGAATACGACGATATATTTCATCCTCACGTGGGCAAAATGGAGCATTTTAATTGGACGTTTTGAATTTGAGGTACAATATATATATATATATATATATATATATATATATATATATATATATATATATATATATATATATATATATATATATATATATATATATATATACCAACTTACAGGAAAATATATTTATTAAAGATCAAAAGCTGGTGATAATTGCACCTTTATTAAATGTAGATGTAAAATAACAATAACAAATTGTACAAATTTCAAACAGGACCATTCATTATTTACATCAAGCTGAAATTCAGGACACGGATTCTAGGAACTTTATACTTAGATTGCGTTGATCGAGTTACTTACTTTGAATATTTAGAAAACGGAATTATTTAATAAAAGAACGTGAATTGAAAAGTCTAATATCACTCAAGTTAGAATGAATGAAATCCATATTTTTTCTGCAAAATAATTCAATTAAAAACTACCGAGACAGCCAAATTAATATACAACCCTCCAACACTGAATCCAAGTAACCTACACCCTATATATAGGCTATATGCTTGTTTTTAAGACTGTCTTTCAAAGAGTAGAAAATAGCGGCGCACGCGTGCGGGGAAAAAGGCGCTAAAATTAGAAAGACACTAGTGGAAGTGACCGGGCTTAGATACTTTGCAAGCGCACCAAATTATCATGCGCCGTTATTTTCGTATTTTCAACCCAATGAGAGACAGAGTTAAACCAACGTCTACCTACACCCGTTGATATAATTAATGAATAGTTTAATTGTACATCATTAAAACTCAACTAACAGTCTTCTAACAGTCAGTAACTTTAACAGTCTATCTGTTTTTCACGGTTGGCGTATACAGTTTTTTGAAGTTTGTACAAATCTACTTCAATTAAGGTTGTCCCAGAGCAAAGTGGAAAAGTCGAATACAAGCGCGAAAGGCTTCCAAGGAATCGCTAAAAATTAATGACTTTTTTAACAATTCCCAGCAAGCCTTTCGCGCTCATATATATATATATATATATATATATATATATATATATATATATATATATATATATATATATATATATATATATTATATATATATATATATATATATATATATATATATATATATATATATATATATATATATATATATAGCTTAAGATTTTGGTTTACGAAACACAAACAGTGCTCAATACCATATAGATAGAGCGTAATATAGTTTTTTCGTTTTACCTCAAAAAACCACAACAGTCTGTTTCATCCGTATAGGAATCATGCCACAACCACAACAGTCTGTTTCATCCGTATACGGATGAAACAGACTGTTGTGGTTTTTTGAGGTAAAACGAAAAAACTATATATATATATATATATTTGAAGAATATAAAGAATAAAATGATCGTGTTACCATGACAACCACTTCGCATACTTTGTGTTTGGAAAATATATTTGTGTTGCTTACAAAGAGATGGGTTTCTGCATGTGTGTATTTGTAGTTATATCCTGCTGACAGACAAACGACAAACACATAATGCACATACAGTATACATGCATATACATACATACAAAATTACTGCATGCGATGTTCCCCAAGGATCAATTTTCGTCTAATGCTCTTTCTATAATCTACATAAACGTTCCGCATGCGAAACTGCTTAGAAACAACACAAGCAAACACAAAATGAAGTACATTGTTATTGGATCCCAACAAAGAATAGAACAGATATCCAACATCTCATGCACTTGTAGTGATTGGAGACCACACAATAAAAAGAGTGGCGGGAAATTGTTATTGGATCCCAACAAAGAATAGAACAGATATCCAACATCTCATGCACTTGTAGTGATTGGAGACCACACAATAAAAAGAGTGGCGGGAAAAAGATTTTATATAGTTATTGATGAACCACTAAAATGGCAAAAACACCTTGACAAGAAAATTTCAGAAAGCATTGCTCTACTCAAAAAATGTCGTAGCACAAAACGTGCCATTGACGATGTACAATTCACTCGTTCTTCCTGCACACATTACTTCTCTGTTCCATGTTCTATGACACGATGACAACGCCTCTCACACGAACAATTTCCTCGTCGTTTGAAGCCTATCGCAACTTATTCACCTTATTTTGTTCTCTAGCTTGTATAATTAAAATTCAACCATTCTCGGAATCACAAAATGACTTCCTTTAGGACCACTTTCGTCACTTTCAAAAATTGTGAGTTTTATGCAACATATGCGAGAATTTGAAAACAGTTTTTTTCAAACTCAACCTTTACCGATAAAAGGCAGTTTAGTTTTAAGAACATTTTAAAACGTTTTGGGAAGCGTTTGTGGTCGAATTTACTACATTGAAGCTTATACAATAAAGCTAGCCCTGGCTGAAGTTTGGACAATTAAGCGCCCAAAATACAAGAACCACTTCAGACTGACAAATGAAACTGGTTCTTAAAAAACCTTACAATAAACTAAACGTTTAGCTGAATTAGTAAGCAGTTAGGTAATAGGAAGAAAACAAATCTTGCTAGCGGCATTCATTCATTTTATCAAAACAGCAATCAATTCACAACGTAATTCAACTTGCATAACTATGTTAAAAAAACTTACATCATGGTGGCCCTTTGATGGGTATAAAATATATACTACACGTATGCATCAACCATATTAACATAAACAGTAAAAACAAATGACAATGTCCAGTACAAAAGTGAAGAAGTAAGGAATCTAACTAAATTTTGTGACATCAGTAAATTTCCAGTTGCTAGGTATTTCAATTTCGTGAGGTTTCTAAAAAGTTGTTTCAGATAACCAGCATTTCCAATAAGTTTATATAGTCCACTGGTATTTCTAGCCCTTTGCTTCCCCTTCATTGTATACTCCCACTGCATTTAGCCTCAAGCTCAGCATAGTTCACTAAAGTGGACTATGGTGTAGCCATCTTCATCTTTATCTACCACAACATATTTGTCATATTCATTGTCGGGTTCCTCTTCACAAGTCAGTATCTCACCAATGTAAACAGTTGAAGTTTAAAAATATACATTGCCAGCATGAAAACCACGGATGCTTGCCTCTACATAAATTCCATACTCATTTTCCATTCTTGCAGAGAAATGTCGATATTTTAGTATATTTTCTTTGAAAACTAACACGAAGTATCCAAAATGGCGGAACGGTTCTGACAAGAGCGTCTGACTCGTACGCAGTCGTCTGTCGTTCATGGTATTCACATGATTACATTGTTTTCCAATCCAGCGCCATTGTAGCTAGTTTGTAACTGTTTATGCAAATGAATCGTACATTATTCGATTGTGGTATCAAAATGTCAGTAGAACTGAAAGAAGGACGACTTTACGATATCACAAAAACATTAAGAAAGTCAGTTGAACTGAGCAGTAATTCTTTGAAACGCAACATCAGTTAAAAATCGTTTACAGGAGAGCAGTATCTTTTAAGATACTGCTCTCCTGTAAACGAATTTTCACAGATGTTCAAAACATTCAAAACATTCACGTGCGCCTAAAACATGAAATTCAGTCTGCTGCTGGACTGGTAACACTCATCGCAGTTTAAGCCAAGGACCATCTGGAGTGTTGCAGACAGATTCATTAGAAAATCTTGACAATCGTTAATCTGAATCAGACAAAAAATTCAATATTAATGGCCAGTCAGGACAAGGCCACAACAACAGGAAAAGCGAAGAGGAAGTGCTAAACGGAACTCATACAAAAAACTCTTAACTGTTTCGATCAAATCAAAACCAAGGACCACCAAGGGCAAGGTGGGCAAATTTTTAGCAGTTGCAAAGGAAAGGGGAATCAGCAAATCCCTAGTGATAAAATGGAACAAAGAAAGAGACCGATTACAAGAACAACTAGTTCTCAACAAATAAAGGAAAAACACGGGCCCAACCACAGCTGTTCGGCGAAGGCGGAGATTTACTGATAATCGATGACATATGGAAATCAAAACATATGGAAAAGTACCCTCGGGCATCAAAACTTCTGGTATCAGAATTTAAACTCAGTAGAGAAGCAGGCAGCAAAGTTTCTGAACTTTGGCTTACGAAAACAATGAAATCTAAAATCCAAATGTGCTACGGCGAGGCAGCAGAAACGTTTAAAGGCAGTCACAACTGGTTTTGGCGATTCAAGAAAAGACATGGCATTGTGCTCAGACGTCGCACAAACAAAAAGAAAGATTATGCAGATGATGGTAGGATTACTATACAGAGGTTTCACAGGAATTTAAGGAAATCGTTAAAAACACATAGGAGAAGAAACAGGTCTTCTATTGATCCAAAATATGGACGATGGCTACCCAACATTGTAACATTGATCAGGTGCCCCTTCCATTTGTAACTGGGCAAGAAACAACTAATGACACATTAGGTAGCAAGCAGGTATGGGTGTCACAGCCATCATATGGCTTAGATAAAAGCAAGCTACCCCACAACTTTGTATACGTGCCAAATTAAAGGTGAACAAAATGTCAAGCCAGCTGTCGTATTCAGGAGAAAGTGGAATTTAAATTAAGTATCTTTGAGAAAATATAGTATGACAAGGGAGTTGATGTGTTTTACCAGCTATCTGCCTGGATTGATACAGAGGTAAATATGCAGTGGGCTAAACAAACACTTGTTCCTGGGATTGGATATGACAAAGATGGCAAGCTTGTATTTGTTGATAATGTTGGTTTTCAGCAAAGAAAGACATTTCATGACCAAGCATGCAGAAATGAAATCAATGCATCAGTGTACATGCTTCCTGAAAATCAAACGGATAAGATCCAGCCAGTCGATGTAGAATGTGGAAAAATGATGAAAGTAAAAATAGAAGCAGAAATGGAAAGATGGTTGCAGGAGGGACAAAATCTGAAAAATGACATGACAAACTCTCAGACAGAGACAGAAGGATCCTTATGACTAAGTGGACAACAGAGGCATGGAGGGAGCTAAGTAAAAATAAAGAATTTTGTAGACGATTGTTTGAAAAAACTGGCTTGTTGTTAACAGCTGACGGTTCAAATGATGATAAGATCTGCGCAAAGACAAGTTACATTTATATGACTGTTTGTTGACAGTTGAGGGATCAAATGACGATAAATTTTGCCCCCAAGGGCTAGACAATTACCAATTCTAGTCAAAGACAAGTTACATTTATAGTTTATATAATTAACAGTTAAATTACAGTTCATTCACTAGTTTCATTGTATATAATAAGAGGTTTCAAACTCTAAACCAAGAACAATTGTTTTTGACTGGAATTAAGAACCAGTTAAGAACCACTTCAGCCTGATTATTTCTATGTACCCGTTATATAAGAACCACTTCAGCCTGAAGTCAAAATTCATTGGTTTTTTTATGCAGGGCTTTACTGTATTACGTATGATAACATATCTAGCATATACGATATATGTTTGGGAAATTGATAATTTTGTAATTAGCCTGCGTAGCGGCTCTCTGCGGGCAGGGCTTTTTTTAAGGATTTTCACGTGGGGGGGGGGGGATTTTTTGAAAAGGAACCATTCTGTGAGATAATATATTGGAGGGGGATGGAAATGGCTGAAGGCCACGTGTGTGGCCAACATACCACGCATGGGGGCGTACTCCCCCATTTCCTGCATTCTGGGCATCCACATTTGCTCCAAAATCTATGTTAACTATACTTGTATTTGAAATAAAAGAAGGAAAAATGCACAAAAAGTGAAAAAAAATATTAACCATAATTTATCATTACTTATTAGAGATGGAATGGTCACGTGTGTGGGGGCATACTCCCCCAGAAATTTTTTAAAATTTGAAGCACGGGAATGCCATTTCCTGCATTCTGAGCATTCAAATTTGCTCTAAAATTTATGCTAGCTATACTTGTGTTTGAAATAAAAGAAGGAAAAAACGAACAAAAAGTTAAAAAAAGAATATTAACCGTAATTTATAATTACTTATTAGAGGGGGATACCAATGGCCGAAGGCCACGTGTGTGGGGGCATAATCCTCAGAAAATTTTTGAAATTTGAAACCTGGAAATGCTATTTCCTGCATTCTGAGCATCCAAAAAATGAAATAATTATTAACAATAATTTATCATTACTTAGTGGTAGAAAAACGTAACAATTTAAATCGATTTTGTTAAACAAGGACAAAGGATAAAGCCTAAAACTTACTTTCCGTTTATCTATTTGTTATTTTTCGCTGGTTTGTTTGTATAAATTTAGGAAAAAGGCCCTGCTGCGGGGCGCCGTTCCGCGCGTAAGTCAGGGGGAGGGGAGGGTACTAATTCCGCCCGGCTATTTACACTCGGGGAAAAGTAAGCATTAGCAAAGTCTAAAGAGGCGTCATAGTGGTGTATGTCACTGAGCTATGATATTACTGGAGGACGTGCTCCTATCTTTCCGTCAGTCAAACGAGTGTCATATTTGCTGACGCCAATTGGTTCCTCTGGCTCATGGCAATTACTACTGACCAACTGCGTTCCTACGCTTGAAATAAAATCTATCACTCCCCTGGTTTTTGTACAAATTTCGATCATTTCGAATTTCGACTAAAAATCTTTGTATTTTTGCAGATGAGGAAAAAGAGTGATAGTTTTAGTTAATTTTTGATCTGCTTGTAGATAAAAAACTTTACTCGAAAGGAATAATATTTCTTGTTTCAGGTAAGATTCACGAAATTTTTTTTTTAAATTCTAGCCTCCCAAAGTTTGGGCTGCTTGGCAACTTAACTTGCCATTTCGATGAAAAAGCATAAATACAATGTGTCAAAAACTACTGTTCTAAACAGCAAATGTATAATATTGCTAGTTTCAACAATATCATAGTAGTTTTGTAATTTACACTTTTGTAATTTTAAGCAAGTTGTTCTTTATATATTATTCAAATTCATTCTCATATTATTAATCTCATATCTTGGGTTCAAAATCCTTTTCCGGACTTGTTTTGTTTTATATTATTTTGAACTTGTTGCTTGGTTTTAAATTTATTATTTATTTTAAATTTATTATCAGTATTTTTTTTAGGATGCATGTGCACAATCTATCTTTTTCAGTACCCTACCAGCTGCCACTCTGGCACTCTCGAAAAATTAAGCATTTAAACCTTCAATTACACTGTAAGTGATTAAAGCTAGGGCACTGTGCCCTACTTTGTTATCTTACTCAGTCCAATGCCAGACGATTTTAATGTCATGGGGAAACTGCTGGCACTTGATTGCTTAATAATTTTAAGTCTATTAAACATAATTTTTATTATTTGTATATCAACCCCCTGATATCCTGTCATTCATTTTGCAGGTGTAATCATTCACAGATACCACAAGAAATATCACATTGGATCAAAATGCTGAACAGCCAAAGCAAAATCATACCTATCTGGCTACAAACTTATCTGGATATTTTAGCTCACTGCTCAAAAAATTAATTATTTCTAATAATTGATAATTACCTCGGGTCGGTACGACACCGAGGTCATAAATTCGGCTTCTATTTTTTTCCATTTTGTGTCGAGCCGCGCGCGTAGTCGAAG